GTAGTGGTAAGTTTTGTAAATCAATGGCTACCTTAAATACTTTTTTCATAGGAGCCCAAAAAAATTGAACTTGGTTCCAGGTGGAAAACTGTAGGGTCAACAGGCAGAAGAAGAAAAAAGAGTGTGAAAGATACATTTATGTATGTTCCAATCTTAAAAAACATCAAAAGACTTTGTCAAGACAAGCATACTCTATCTGAGGTATAGGAGAGTTGTTTCTGAATCTACTGCATGCAACTAATTTTTGTAGTTTCAGTCATCACATAGAGGTGATGACAATTATTTGAGAGACTTCTGTGATGGAACTGTTTATAAAAAAGCCCAGTTATCTCATCAACAGTTGGAGGATTGCAAATTATCCTATATTATGATGAACTAGAAGTTTGCAACCCATTAAGTTCTAGGAAAACTGTGCATAAGTTAGGTAAATTATTTCCTATGTTATACTGGTATTTTTAATTTAATTAAAATGATTTAGGTTTATTTTATTACAGTTTTGGAAATTACTCAAATCGGAGCTTACTTCGAAACATTCACCTTGCTGCAATAGCCACATCAGAAATCATTGCACTTTATAAAGTTACTACAATTTTGCAGTACATTGTAGATGACATTAAAAAGCTGGTAATTATGTATTATTATATCTTTTGTAATATTGCCAAAAAAATTTAAACCACTGAAATTTGAACATATGATCACGAATTCAAAATATAGAGAGACTAATTTATTGACTTTAATTAGTACCAATAGTGCAAATTAAACTTTCCTGTTTATTATAATACTAGTAGTTTAATATTTTGTAAAATTTTGCTGCACTATTTATATGCATTGATTCAATACTTGTGATTTTAGGAATCTGGGCATGAAATCATGTTAAGTAATGGTAATACCATCTCCATTTACGGATCAATTGCAGCAATTGCTGCTGACAATCCTGCATCATGTTCCATGGGAGGTTTTAAGGAAAGTGCAGCAGCTTACAGTGGATGCAGACATTGTATGGCCACTGATTTTGCATTGAAGGTTTGATTAAATTGGTATATTTATAATGTAGTTGTTGTGATTGCTATGCTATATTTATGAACAGCATAAATTCTGTTCATAAAAATCAAAAGTATAGCATTGATTTTTAAAATTTTGTACACTAGTTTAATGAAAAGGATTTAAACCTTCGTAACAAGAGGTAGCATCTCCTTCATTGTCAGGAGCTTGATACTAGTATTGAGGTTTGTATATTCTTAGTATGGTACTGTATCATACCGCCGTCTTTTCACATACAAACTATATATGTACAAAAAGGCTACAGTAGTTGGTACGTGAGTTATGCCATTGTTCTATTATAGGCTTCAAAGAAGTATGGAATCAATCGATACAGTCCTCTTCTTGAACTCAAGCACTTTGACATATGTGGAGGACTCGTTCCAGACATTATGCATGATGTTTTAGAAGGTAATTGTGCAATAAGCAGTGAATTAATTTTGAATTTATTATGCTATAGGTGTTTTATGTCTTGAATTGAAGTTACTATTGAAGCACTGTATCAATGAAAACTATTTAGGCATGCAAAATTTAAGTGACATGATTTCTGATTTTGAGTATGGATACATGGAAGCTACTAACCGCCCATCTTGTCAATTTTTACCAGACTGTTAGGTCGGATTCCCAAAAAAAACTTGGACAATCTGGTATGTGCTAGTAAAATACTGTTCAGATGACATAAAAATGTAGCATCCCAGTTATGGCTTTTAGCTCGACTAATACCAATATTAATCAGACACTTGATTCCAGAGAATGAATTAAATTGGGAAAATTTCTTAATTCTTCTCAAAATTACGGATTATCTGTTTTCTCCAGTCATTACAATTGACGAATGTTCATACTTACAGGTATATCTGCAAATACAAATGTTGAAATTATTTCCAAAATTTTTAAAAGGATCTCATTTCTGAGCATCACAGTAACTTTATGACTTTATATCCACAGCAGTCTGTCACACCTAAGATGCACTATATGGTGCACATGCCTAGATTGATTAAGTGGTGAGTCACTAAATTTGTCAGTTATGGATTAAAATAGCATTTGTTGTAGTTATGGTCCATTGTCACAATTATGGACAATGAGGTAAAATTTTCACTGTTAGTTTAGTCAACATGAATTTTTGTTAGATTTGAAGCTAAACATCAATATTTTAAAAAATTAACACAGCGTACATTGAATTACATAAACTTGCCAAAGACTCTCAGTGAGAGACATCAGTTTATACAAATTTATTACCTGTTGTCACCACTTCCAGCCTTTGAAATTGGTCCAGGTTAGTTGAGAAATTAATAAACCCAATATACTGAATTTTAGTTCTTAGCTCTTAAATATGTGAAGATGAGATTCATGAATTAGGAATTGACAGTAGAAGGGCTCATGTGTAAACATATTTTTTTGCTTTATTAAAATTAATTATAATTATATAGGGTTAAGTGGATCAAGTTTGGACACATTGAAATAAGGCAGCATCAATGTGCAGTATTGTATCATCTGTCTGATTTTCCTCATTTTATTAAAGTAAACAGGATTATTGTTTGTGACGACAAAACAATTTTTAGTGGTGATATTCTTGAAACTGAGTATTATTCACACCACTATCACTGTTGTGTTGTAAATTTCACAAGAAGAGTTGTTACTATTTTTAATCTACACTCACATCACCCTGACCCTCTTCATATAAGATACTTTGACCCTCTTAATAGTTATGTTGTTGTACTTAAGCACAATATCAGTTATTTTTAATTATACTACTACTACAACTATAATAAGAATTTATTGTAATTTTTAGTTTCAGTATTTCCTGCTTCTCTTTCTCCCTCTCTTCTCTCTCTCCCTTGCCTCTCATAATAATAATAATAGTAATGGTAACATGTACATCTTCCTCATTTTTATAATAATAATAATAATAATAATAATAATATAATATAATAACAATAAATTGTATACATACTATAGTCTGGCTAGTCCAGACCCTCAGCTACGCTATACATACTACATGGTAGTAAGATGAATTTGGAGTGTGTGTGTGATGGGCAGTTCTTGGCTTTATTAAAGGAGAGATCCTATTCTACATACATTAGCTAGTCTGGCCCCGACCCTTTCGCTCTTTCTATTACACTGCATGGTCTCAGTGTGGTGGTACAATAGCAAGCTGTATGAAGAAGAGTAAATACATTTATGTGTGTGTGACCCATTTTATCTCAATGAAGTGGTCTGAAAGTTGTCTTGCTAGGCAGACCCAACTTGCATGAGCTTGCGAGACTATAGTTGAAATAATTTTATAGCTTAGAATTTACATTAGTTATGAGTTTATATATGTATTTAATTTTTTAAAGTAGCTAGGGCTTGGAGGGAATACTCTAGTTTTATTATAATTTCTTATGCATATTGTGTTGAGTCATGGACAAAGAGAATGAGGGCATGTGTCACAGTGATGTAAGGAAAGTAGCCTGGAAAGAACTCTAGGCGAGTAGGCAGACTATAGGAGTTAGTAACTGACTGTGGCCAACACTAGCTCTGATGTCTGTCTATCAACAAGAGTTGGGTGTAGTGTCCTCTCTTAAATTATGGTTAATCCAATCTATTTTGTTAATGATAAGTTGCCACCTGATATTACTCACCATACTTGGTGAGAGAGGAGGGGAGAAGAGAGGTGAGGAAAGATGTACAATGTACCTGTATAGAGATACATGTACATGCATACATATATACATGTGCAGATGTACTATGATATCAGAGAATGTGTATATACATTGATTATTTTGTGTTTTTAAAGGTACATATTACTTGGTGCTCCTCAATGGAGCTTTTATTCATAGGCAATCACATTGTCAAGCACGCTTATTATCATTGTGTCTATTTCTACAGAGTCTCATTTCTAATTCCTGAACTTTTGCCCTGTACTTCTTTGCCATTGGACTTCCCCTGTTGGCCAAATTTCATCAAAATTGAAAAGTAGACAATTCTCTACTTTTATAATATTTCTCATACACAAGTAACGCAAGCATGTTCTTATGTTGTGTTGAAAGTTTAAGCTGATTTCAATCAAATTTTAATTCTTTACGAATTTTTACTATTGCTCCAATGTACTGTATTGTAGTGCTTGTCAGTTCTGAAGCTTGCCCACTAAGCATGCTTTAGGGAAATTTTGTGGTAGGGCATGTTTATTAGAGGTGGGCGATACGATACCAAAGTACTCATATCCGATACCAAGTACTCGATACCAAATCCTGGTATCGAGTAGTGAGCAATCACGCCCTACCGCACCTATTTTAGACATCATAATTATGGCCACGCCCTTTACTAATTACAAAATGGCGGGTTATTTCTTTTCATTTTTATTATAACTTATTTGCGCATGCGCAGTAGCTGACTACTCATTCACTACTTGATACCATCGATACTGTGACTCAGACTACTTGGTATCGGTATCGATTCAAAATTTCTGGTATCACCTACCTCTAATGTTTATTGTGTTAAATTGTTTTTGTAAAAGGCAAGGTCAACCGTGTCCTATCTCCTCAGGGTGTGGCTTATTATTTTAATTAAATTTGGGTGTGGATCATCTTTTTTAATCAGTTAGGCTGAGGCTCATAGGCTTAGGCCAGATGGCTGAGGCTAGCTGAGGTAACTTGTGATTATGATGACGACGATGTTCTTGATCCATTGGACGAGACACCTTGATATATAGGCCATATGAAATGATTGCTACTGCCATTGCTGATTTGTAAGCAGTGTACTTTTATTTTTATTGATACAATACCGAGTACAATACAACTAGGTGAATGTAAACATTGAAGGTGTGAGCATGAGCCATCAATTGACATTGTTTGAATAAGAAGATTAAAATAAAATAAAAACGATACCATATAGCCGCTTAATTTCGAGGGTACAAATTGCGCTGTTTTTTTCGGATTTTCCGTATTCGCGAAAGTTAATTCCGTAAAATTATCCATATTGGCCATAAACATGTGTACTTTAAAACAAGAACTGCGAAAGTTAATTCGCGAAAAAAGACTTGTGGCCTAATTTGCGAAAGTTTATTGCCTCAAAACTTTGTGGTTATATGGTATACTTCATAGCCTACCTGCATGCAAATTCAGACCCTGTCCTCATGGCTAGGGTGTGAACAAAGAAAACACACCAACTAACACAATCAAAATCACCCTGTAAAAGATTCAAGAATGTCCTGCCACTCTGAGGAAATGTGTAACTACATGTAAGAAACAAGCTTAATTTTTCAATGAGAGGACTAATCTAGAGGGATCCTAGATCAAACCATTGTTGCTATTAATTTCTGTAGTCTTTAGAGATTCATTAGATAGCCCCTCTCTCTTATCTAGCTGTTAGAAACTCAATCTGAGTTTGTCCAGTATAAAGCCACCATGTTTTTCATTGTGACCACACCCTCAAAATAAATTTTGTGTTATTTGAGTACATGTAATTTATTTCTCTCTCTCTCTCTTTCTCCCTCCCTCTCTCTCTCTTCCTCCAGACAGAAGTAGAATATGACTACATATGGAAACAGGCCAATGCCTATGGGTACATCCTCTTTTCGTGCACGTTGTGGGTTTACCTAATTACGACATACGCAGTATAATACTGGAGCTGATACTACAAGACATATCTAACTTTAGAGTTCTACCTGATAGACTGGGACAGGGTGTGGTTAATGAGCTGGCATTATCTCACTAGAGAGACTGCGGAGAAGGGCAACCAAATATATCTTGTTTTACTTTCAGATGGACACAAGTCTAGGCTCAAAACTCTTGAGCTCCTTCCCGGCATGTACTATCTGGAATGTGCCAAAAATAGTCATCTTCTTTGTGCAGTTAAACCATCGTGATCTGTGTTTCAATGTGTATGACTAATTCTCCTTTATATCCTCTTCTAAATGTACCTGTTGCTCAATGTGCAACTCTACCTTATCACAGACTCAAGCTCGACATACTTTCTTCCACCGTCTCCCCAGACTATGGAACTCCCTACCCCCAGTAGACTTAACAATGTCAATCAAAAAATGGTAAATTGGTATTTTAATGATATACCGTATAAGATGAAATGTTGACGGGGATTTTTATATTGGTGGATTTACGGATTTTTATAAAAACGCCAAAATAAAATCTGCAAGCAATAATTCCATTCATGCGTGTGATCATGCCCACATTAATTTTTGTTAAAAGCAGCTAGCTAACATGGCTTTACTATGTTTCTTTAAGCCAGACTCTAAACCAGGTGATAAAGAATACAATCTTCCAGAAAAGGTACAGTCTTTCTCTGATAATAATGTTCTCCATGAACCACAACCGCTTAAGTAAAACTCCGCCTAAGGGTGGGGATATACTTAAATTGTTAGAAACTGCCAATATTAAATCCGCCAATAAGCTAGCCATCACTAAACCGCCAAAGAAAACTCCCGCCAACAAATCGTCTTATACGGTATTCAACAATTTTTTTAGCTCAAATGATGCATGCACACACTTTTAATACTGTTTGTCCATGCTCTAAATGTCTGTGTTGACCTCTCCCCTCTTCTTTTACTACTCCCTCTTAATTTATTATTCCTTTGTGTATGTGTTTATTTATTTCCTCCTGGGTGTCAGGACAACTGTTCCTGACAACCCTTCAGACCTTCTTCCTCTCTCCTCTGCCCTCCTCCTATCTGTTTTTCTCTACTCTGTATAAGTCCTTTAAAATTCTAATAATAACAATAATAATAATAATAATAATGGTTTAAATTTAATTACGGAATGGTAAGAACATCAGAGACATGTGCTTGCTAGAAATAGTTACTAATTTATATAATTAATAGTCATTAATAATTTTTCTTTCTATTTCTCTTTCTCCTCAGTACCTCACAGAAGGACTAAGATGATGGGTCTGATATGCCCTGGAATCCAGTACACTCTCTTTGGAATCCAACTAAAATGTGACGGAATCTAAGACTCGGAATCCAAGATTTAAGGATTTTTAGTGGTATACTACTTGGAATCCAGCAACTGCTTGGAATCCAGCAACTGAATTCAGGAATCCAGACACCCCAGTGTCTGACCCCTTGGACTAAGATATAGAAAATCACTTTTCTGTATTTTTGTGTCATTTATTTGTTTATCTTGTTATTTTTAATTATTTGGCAGACATTTAATCAACTCATTTAAGATGTGTTTTACAAATGCTCTATTCTCTTTCAATCCTCCCAGTCCTAACTGCTTTCACTATTCGATAACTCATAAATTTTTCAAGTATTTCACTTCTGTTAATTAGCTATTTGATTGTTTTTTTGTCACTGAGACCCTCAAATTTATTTATTTTCCTTTTTACTTGTAGAATATTGTTGTTATTATTGTTTATTAACTTTTATTAATGTACAAGTGGATTGATAAGTTGGTGTATGTGTTCAATCGTGTCACGCCTGCAGTTTGACTACGGAATTCAATTCAAAGCTAGAAAGAAAGCAAAGCAGAAAAGAGGCTCAGTCAGAAATCTAAAAGTGAGTAAGTAATACATACACGTAGCAAGCCTTGTTTGCATGGCCACTCGGCAGCTTGTTGCAGCAACGCATACGCAGCCATTCTCTACATGATACGGCTGCATTGAGCAGCCCGGCCCCAGCTTACTATGGCACTGATGCATTCAAGGAGATAAGCGAGACTGATTTTGCATAGAACAAGCCTATTAACCCACTCAATGTAGTTTCATGCCAAAAACTGAGGTGCTAGTGCAACTTTACTCAGTATTTTCCTCATTTTCATTGTTCACTGTATACTGACAAGTTCTTTCTCCATAGAATAACAAGTCATGAATGCAGAGAATTCACTGATGGAAGTAGAAATAGTATCAGAAGTAATCCTATAGTAGCACCATGCTAGTATACCATATATTTTTTCCTTCATTTTTAGCTTATATACAAAGCACAATATTGCATGTGTGTTTATTATGATTTAATCTTTTTCCTAGAATTTAAACCACTATTTTTGCCTGGGTCCCAGATGACATTTACATGTAAGTGAAACAAAAGAATTAAGAAACTATAGATCTAAATTATTTTTAATTTAGTCATAGGATTCATTTGCATTGAGACGAGAAAATTGTAAGTCACAAAGAGCATGAATATACCGGTACATGTATTAAATTACTCATTATTTATTTAGATATTTGGGACATCAACTAACCACAATATTAAAAAAAGAACAGTATTATTATTTCAACTGAAACTACTGTATCTTGATTTAAAAACTATCAATGTATAACAATTAATTAATATTGCATATAAATAAGAAACAATTAACTAATACCATAAAGCAGGAAATTTTGAAGGGATTTAAATTTGATAAATTTGGCATTTCGATAGCCATTTGCCACAATAAAATTCCCCATTTTTAGCGATTATACGCATGCTCCACAAAATCACCGATCACTGTTTTGAAACTTCCAGGGCAGCAAGTACTATCAACACCATATACCAGGACTCAAAACTATAGGAGGAGAGAGAGAGAGAGAGAGAGAGAGAGAGAGAGAGAGAGAGGATAAAATAAATACATAGACACTGCATGCTTGCTATTATTAATATTACTGTTCACAAGATGATTTGTTTAGTCATCATCTATCATTACTAAGGTGTTAATGTTTTGATGGAAAGATTATAATGTACGTACTGTCGTATACCATATGAATTTAATGGATGGAGGATATAGAGGCAGAGGGTTTACCGCATAGCGCTTTATTTTGGCAATTTTGCTGTAAAATATTAATTTACAGTTTTTAAGTTGGCGATTTTGTGTACATGTGCATTACTGAGCATGCGCATTAATGATTGGTGGTTTTAATATTGGCAATTCCATTTGCATAGCACCAATCACCAAAATAAAACTCTGCCAAATTAAAGCACTTTAGAGTAGACTATGGATTATTGCAATATATTATTAGCATAAATTACATTTGCCTCATTTACACACATATCTATCTACATGTATAGTGCATACATGTACCTGTATAAGCATATACATTAGAGTCTGTATTATACATTTAATATACATACACAATGAAAGAAACAATGGTAAGACCCATTCCCATAATAGCAAAGTATTGCATGCATTGTATAATAGTGTACAGTACTTTCAGAGGCACTAAAATGCCTTATTGCCAAGTAATGGTGTTAAATTGATACTGCACTTTCACAACAAGTACAAAACAAAATGTAGCTACAACCATTCTCATTCAATATCAAAAATCATTGATACACAAAGACACATGGATATTAAGCATATACACAAATTTATATGGGTGACATGTTCATATGCACATTTTGGATTGGAATACTAATTAATAGTAATGCTGCCAGTAGAATTCATTTTATACATTTTACAGATAAGCTAGAGCAATTATATTAAAAGAGTCATCCAAATTGAAAGTGGTAGTTTATGAAATACTTAAAAACTATTTAAATAGTCAATTTTGCTACTGAGGCCTAGTTTTGTCCAACTGTGTAGTTTAGCTCTGTTTCTACCATGCCTATACCTTGCAATCGAAGGTCAATAATTAGCCTACATGTAGTTCGTTAAAATATAAATAAATTGATAAAATATTTAATAAATTGATCTTTAAGGCCCACAAGACAATGCTAAATATCACTGAAAAGAGCATATACATGTACAATACCATTGATAAAATTCGTGGGGTGTTAATTTTTTGTTAATTTCACGGTTCATTTTTATTCAGAAAATTTTAACCCCTACCCGCCCACACATAAAAACTATTTAACGGACCATTCAGAGCTCTAACTACTATTTTCAAGCCAGTGGAGGAGCCAGAGTCTTTGTCTATTACTCCATATTCCAATAAGCCATGTATTGAAAGCTAGTGCTGTAGATCCAAGTGAAAGGAAGTTTTCACCCTCAAATACATGTATTACCAAGCGTATGGAAATAGAAACAAGGTAGATACATGTACATGTACATGTACTACACAAAGAGGTACCATAATTGACTTAAAGTCCTATTGGGATAAAATGCACATAAATCTCCCTTCTTATTGACCTTATCTACCTTGATACAAAGTTATTATCCCATGCAGGCAGTGCCAAATGGAGGCGGCACTAGACACACTCTCCCTCTCTCTCTCATTTGATATGTATATGTTATTATATATGTAGAAACAATGTGAATTATTAAAGGGTTCAGCCTCGTAGATTATTAGCTGCAAAAAGTAGAATCTCTACCTTATGTTGCTGCCAAAAAACTTTTGACTTGTTTTTTACTTTAAGCCTTGCTACACTGACTTTAAAATAGCCATAAAATATTAACAAGCGTAACAGGGTAAAAAGTATTCCTATAATTGATTTCACCACCTTGCAAGTACAACCTGGTCATTATTAAGACTTATAGAGGTTTTCTCTACCTTATAATGCTTCTAGAAAAGCTTTTAGACAGTATCTCTATGCTCTTTTGCTGTTAGAAAGCTCTTAACTTTGTCCCATGTGTAAGCCGCCATTTTGTTTGCCGTGACCACACCTACTCACGTAAAGGAGCGTGGGCGGGTGGTTGCTAAGGCTTGTTATTCCTCCAATACAACATGTATAGAAGAAATGTAAGTGTGGATATACAAATATATATATATAGATAGCGCGACGGTCAATTCAATTATAGGAACAACCTGGGGGCTTCGCCACCAGGTCGTTAAAAAGGCTGGCCAGTTTAGTGCAGTCAGGTGACATTTGTTTGATGTTCACAGTTTATCTCAACAAAAACGAGTTTCATAGTTACTTAATTGCACCTGTAACATTTTCAAACAGTTGGAAAAGTCTTTGGATGGTGTTTTTGCCTTATCTTGTTGCTAGGTCCACTCCCACTCTCAATGAAATATTGAATTTAGAATGTATTGCATTACTAGACATGTTCGGATATACACATGTATAGAGGAGATATGGAATACGTACGTGTACAAACAGACAGACAAACAAACTCTACTCATCTTACTGGACTTTGCCCAATAACGTGCAATGTACATGTAACATGTATGACATGTATAATGAATAACATACATGTACATATGTATATGAACATTATACATGTACATGTACATGTATAATGTAATGAAAATAGGAAAATCACAGTACTACATGTACAATGTACATGCATGTACAGAATCCAAATTTTATCAGAACAAGATCCAAGTTTCTACACAAAAAAAGGACAAGTATATTATGTGTCAGAATACCATGCAAACTGAGCATGCTCAATGGCACTTGGCACAAAATCGCCCATATAAAATCTGCGAATTTCATTCCACAGGCAAATTCACCAAATATTACTCCCACCAACAAATCTTATATGGTATATCATAAAAATTAAGGATTCTCCACTTCTGTACATTTGTACATCTGAAAATACAAGGGCATCAAATACATGTACATGCATACCATAGGCCGGGTTTTGATTGCGTTTCTAACAGATTGCAAATTCGGAAAAATAACTAGTATGCGTTTCCAACAAAATGAAAGTTATTTATAATCTCTGAAAAAAAACTGAAGTCCTGGATTCTTACATCACTACCAAGCCTCTGAACAAAGTTATCTAGCCCCTTGATCATGATTTTAGCAGTTTTAGTGCTTTAAGGAGTGATATGAAGTACTAATATCATAAAAATTATCTTGACCCCACCTGTAATTGACTAAAATGAAGGAAAACGCTCTTTTAATGCTGTAAAAAGTGGGTATGGCCAAATCATATTGTGTTTCACACACCCTTATTGGGTGTGAATCATTAATTAAATAGAAGAAAAGTGGTGCAAAAAACTACAAAAACGGTTCTATGGAATTCATGTATCCCCTGAAATATTTTGAAAAAAATAAGAAAAGGAAAGCTCTTTTTAAAAAAATGATCCAGGTACTTAAAGCTGATTCTCAAGTTTGAATTTCTAACTAAAATCAGGCAATGACCAAAACTGACCAGGGGAGAATTATCCATTCAAATTTTTTGATACATATACCTGCATTTACATCTACAATTATTGGAGTTAAATTTCACTGGAAAAAAATTTTGCTAAAATTAAATTCTACGACAGAGTTGTGGTACTCTAGGAAAAATGGTTGCAGAAGGTAAAAATTTATACCAACAGATTATAAATCAGAACAAATTAGTGAAATTTCATAAAACCATGTATTTACATGGATAGCATGCAATATTGGTCGATAACTTACTAGATGCACTAATGCTGTATTATGTTTGCAGTCCATGGTGTAGGAGGAGTGGCTCATGCTAAACCTTCCTACGACCTTTTCCTTCAACAGGAGCA